GGGCGCCCGCTATTCTGGGGTGCGGAGCTCAGGACGCTCCCTCCTGGAAACCACGCGGGGGGCCCTGGGCATTGGTTTCCCACGTCCAGCTTGGGTGCGGGGATTCAGGAGGACCTTTCCTCAGGAAGGGGACCCAGGGGTTCCTTCTGCCCCCAGGACCCCAGGAAAGGGCCCAGCTATTGTTTGCCTCCCCTTCTGGTCCTGGGGTCTAGAGTTGGGGAAGCTCCTTCTCAAAAGGCTATTCAGGGGCCCAGCTGTCTCCAGGAGCTCCGTGCTTTCTCCTCCCGTCTTCCAGCTAAGAGCTAGGAATTGAGGAGGTCTTTCCTCTGGAAGCAGTCTAAGGGTTCCTCTGCCTCCTAGGAATCCAGGAGGGGATCCAAGTAGTTCCCCCACCCTCCAACTATGGGGTCTGGGTTGAGGGGGCATTCAGAAGCTCAGCACTCTTTGTTTGCTTACCCCCTTGCAGCTATGGGGTTGTGGCTCAGTAGGTCCCCTTTCCTAGAAGGGAAAGCCGAGATTCCCCCACTCCCAGGAACTCAGCCCTGGGGTAACTCAAGACATCCCCCAACTGGTAATCCAGCTGAAGTGGCTCCAACTATTCTTCCTCCACCTCCCCACCTCTCCCTACCCCCAGCCATGAGGCTGGATTCAGCTCAGGATTTTTTCTCCAGGGGGGAACAAACACAAGTGTAGAGACATAATCCCCACATCCAAGCTGTGGGTTCATTGCTCAGAATCTCCCCTCCCTGGGGGTTCCCCCAGTAACCCAGAGGATCCCCAGGTATTATTTTCACCTACTCTCCAGCTAAGGGTTAGAATTCACAATCTTCTAGTCAACTGGGAAAACAGACATATTGGTAACTGACCCCCGCTTTCCCCTAAGGGATCTCTAAATCTCCCTGCTTCTACTTCCCCATCAGGAGGGGTCTCAAATATGGTTTCCCCCCACACCACTAGCTTAGGGAACAGGCATTAGGATCATCTCTCTAGGAGAGAATGTACTCTCTAAGCTGTAAGGTATGGAATTCAGATCGCCTCCTTCTCCTGTCTTCTCCCCCAGTGACTTAGGAGGGGTACCAGATGTCATCACCCCCCCCACAGTGCCTAGGTTATTCTCCAGCCATAGTTTGTAGAGCTCAGCATACCACCTAAGAGTTGAGTCAGGGGCCCTTCTTTCTACAACCTGTCACCTCCAGTTTGGGTGAGAGGAGGGCAGGAATTTGGGCCATGTGCTCAGGACACTGGAACTCTGACACCACCCTTTTCCCAGGAGGGGGGCCAATTAAAGGTGTTGGAACCTAGGACTCCCTCTTTCACAGGATCCCCACAAGAGTTCAGGATGGACAGAGGGGCAGAGCCATGGGACTGGGCACTGGAGACCTAGTTTGGGGTCCCATTACTTTCATCCAGGTTCAGGGCTGAGAAGGGAGGGTCCCACCATGTCCCACCCAAGGTCCTTCTATACCACATCCTGACTGGCAAGTGAGAAGTCTTTCTGCAGAGTCAGGGAAAGATCCATGAGTGTGTTTAGGAGTAAGTTATGGGGGAATGGCTGAATCCCTCTCCCATCCCTGCCCAGACTCCAAAGAGATTCCCTGTTTCCCAGAACCTATTTCTACCTACTCTCTGTCCTCGCTCTGCAGATCCTGTCCCTGAAGCAGTCAGCAGTTTCACACCTGGGATGCGTCGCTCAGTCCTAGTCAGGAACCCAGGCCACAAGAGCCTGAGGCCTGTTTATGAAGAGCTTGACTCTGACAAAGAGGACCTGGACCCAGTTTCTGAAGACCCAGAGCCTGATCCGGAAGACCTCAACACTGTCTCAGAAGATGTGGACCCCAACTATGAAGGTCTGGACCCTGTCCCAGAGGATCTGGGTCCCAATGTGCAAGCTCCAGGCTCCATCTTGGGGAACCAAGATTCCGACCCCCAAGATTTGGACCCCATGTCTTCAAATTTCGACCTCGATCCAGATGTTATTGGCCCTGTACCCTTGGTTCTCGACCCTGACAGCGACACCCTAAGCCCAACCGCACCAGACGTGGACCCCCTTTCCTCCAGCCTCACTGCCACCCCCCAAGTCCTGGCCACCAGCCCCGAGGTGCTCCCTCCCCCAGCCAGCCCGCCCCGGCCCTTCTCCTGCCCGGATTGCGGGCGAGCCTTCCGTCGAAGCTCCGGGCTGAGCCAGCACCGTCGCACCCACAGCGGCGAGAAGCCGTACCGCTGCCCCGACTGCGGCAAGTCCTTCAGCCACGGCGCCACCCTGGCTCAGCATCGTGGCATCCACACCGGGGCCCGGCCCTACCAGTGCGCTGCCTGCGGCAAAGCCTTCGGCTGGCGCTCCACGCTGCTGAAGCACCGCAGCAGCCACAGTGGTGAGAAGCCCCACCACTGCCCCGTCTGTGGCAAAGCCTTTGGCCACGGCTCGCTGCTAGCGCAGCACCTGCGCACACATGGCGGCCCGCGGCCGCACAAGTGCCCAGTTTGCGCCAAAGGCTTTGGGCAGGGCTCCGCGCTGCTGAAGCACCTGCGCACGCACACCGGCGAGCGACCCTACCCCTGCCCGCAATGCGGCAAGGCCTTCGGGCAGAGCTCAGCGCTGCTGCAGCACCAGCGCACACACACCGCCGAGCGCCCCTACCGCTGTCCCCACTGTGGCAAGGCCTTCGGGCAGAGCTCCAACTTGCAGCACCACCTGCGCATCCACACCGGCGAGCGGCCCTATGCCTGCCCGCACTGCTCCAAGGCCTTTGGGCAGAGCTCGGCGCTGCTGCAGCACCTCCACGTGCATTCTGGCGAGCGCCCCTACCGCTGCCAGCTCTGTGGCAAGGCTTTTGGCCAAGCCTCGAGCCTCACCAAGCACAAGCGGGTGCACGAGGGCGCCGCAGCTGCTGCCGCCGCCGCCGCAGCAGCAGCCGCCGCGGCGGCTGGCCTGAGCCTGGGGCCTGGCTTGAGCCCTGCGTCCGTGATGAGGCCTGGGCAAGTCTCCTTCCTGGGTCCTGATGCTGTGTCTGTGCTGGGTTCTGGCCTGGGTCTCAGTCCTGGCCCCAGCTCTGGCCGCAGCCCTGACCCTGGCTCTGCTCTGGGCTCCCTTTCCAATCCCAGCCCTCAACCTCTCTCTGGCTCCACATCCACCCCCAGCCCTGAGCCTGTTGAATATTCTGACCCTAAGCCTAGTGATGATGATGACCCTGACCTTGTGCCCAGCCCTGACCCCAACCCTGAGTCCCACCCTGATCCCTGCTCTCCTATTCGTGACACTGTCAGCCCAGCCCTCCCTACTGGTGAGAGTCCAGAGTGGGTAAAGGAGCAAGGGGCACTACTGGGGCCTGATGGCTGAAGGGGACACCAGCACCACAGGCCTGGGGAAGTTGTGTGTTGTGCAGTTAGTAAAATCCTCCCACTGCCTCCCGGCTCTGCGTTGTGGCTTGCCTTCTGCGCTTCCTCCCCTGATGCACAGCCTGGCCCCTTCCCACTAGCTGAGGGAACAGGCATCAGGATCATCTCTCTAGGAGATGCTTCTGGTTGCTGGGTGAGCAGAGATGGGAGGGTGTGGCCAAGGCCAACCATACACCTGGAGCCACACCCCACAAAATTCCTAGCTTCCCCTGTCTATAAGGTCTCACATTTGTCCATCCCACTGGTCACCACTCTGCCTCTCCAGGCCTGGGTTGGGGGGTCCTAGTCAGGGGAGACTTGCCCTGCAGGTGGCCTGACAGAGTCCCCTCCCTTTAGCTTAATCTCTGGCATGTTGTTGGTCCAGGTCTAGTGGGCTGTAATAGAGGTTGACAATGGACCATGGCAGCAGCCATCCCCATTTGCTCCCTGAGCCTACCCCTTGCCCTCGGAAGCCCACTAGGCAAATGGCGGCTGCACGTTTACGTGTTCAACAAACATCTGCTGATTGTTAGTGTCTCCACAAGGGAGCAAGATAAGTATGGCCCTCACCCTGACAAAACACATCGTCAAATTGAAACTATTTCAAAAGTAATCAGAGGATGGCACATTCTGAAAGAAGCAGAACAAGACTTCTGATTTAGGTGGCATGAACACTATCCGGAGGAAGGGTTTTACAGGTCTAGTACCACTAAATGAATAATCAGCACTGCTGCCCAGCTTTGTCAGTGATCTTGCATTTGCTCATTTATTTCTTTCAACAGCCCTGAAAGTCCAGTAATTTGCCATTTTGCAAATAAGGAAACAGGCACGCAGTGTTAAGAGACACTGGAAAACAGAAGTAGCAGGTAGATGGCAATGCCTAGATTTAAACCTGAATTGTCTACCCTGCAGAGCCTGGTGTTCTTAACTATTATGCTCCAGGGCAAAAGTGTGTAAAGGCCTTGGGATCGTCAAGAGATGAACTAGAGGCAGAGGTGGGAGCTAGACCGGAGAGTACCGGGAGGCGGTGGTGGGGAGTTGTTTCCCAGCAATGGGAAGCCGCCAGCAGGTTCTCTG